GCCACGGCACTCCAGTCTGGGCGACAGAGTGAGACTCCAACTCAAAAAAAAAAAAAAATTCACAAAAAACAGAAACAAGGGCCAGCAAACTGTGGCCTCGGGTCTAAATTCAGAGCCCCCCCACCTGTCTTTGTAAATAAAGTTTTATTGCAAAGTTTCCTTTGTCCTTAAATAATTAATAACCAGCAAACATTTTCTTTACCTGGACGTCTGATGGCAGGATCAGGATCAAGGGTTTTCTTTAAGTATTCTGTTAGTGTTTGCAAATTTGCATCACTGAGCTCCATTGTTATAGAATCTAAAATAAAAAATAAGGTTTGGTTAATTGGTCACCTGGAGCCACAGTGATTTACATTTAAAAAGGCTTTCAATATTATGGTTCTTCCTCTGTCTGAAAGTCATTCATTTGTTGTGTTTTGATATAGGCTACAATCTGGATTCTTAGCTGAGACAAGGGTCCAGAAGATAGGCATTTTTTTTTTTTTTTTTGTTTGAGTCAGTCTCACTCTGTCGCCCAGGCTGCAGTACAGTGGCGAGATCACAGCTACTGCAGCCTCGAACTGCTAGGCTAGTGCTAGGCTCAGGCGATCCTTCTGCCTCAGCCTTTCAAATAGCTGGGACTATAGGTGCCACCATGACAGGTAATTTTTTTTTACTTATTTATTGTAGAAACAGGGTCTTGCCATGTTGCCCAGGCTGGTCTTGAATTCCCGGGTTTAGGCAATCCTCTTGTCTAGACCTCTCAAAGTACTGGGATTTCAGGTGTGAGCCACAGCCTGGCCTAAAATGGGGTTTTTAAAAAAATGATTGCTGGGCGTAGTGGCTCACGCATATAATCCCTGCACTTTGGAAGGTCAAGGTGAGAGGACTGCCTGAGCCTGGGCGTTGAGACCAGCCCTGACAACTTGGCAAGACCTCATCTCTACAATAAATCAAACAAACAAACAAACAAACAAACAAACAAAAGATTAGCCGGGCATGGTGGCACATGCCTGTAGCTCCAGCTACTTGGAAGGCTGATGTGGAAGGATCGCCTGAGCCCAGTAGGTCGAGGTAGCCAAGAGCATGCCACCGCTCTCTAGACTGTGAGATAATTTTGAGACAAGGGAGAAAGGTAAAAAAAATCCCAAAATTTCCAAAAGAAGGGAACAGAAAAACAAAGCTGAAGAACTGCTCAAAGTCACCAATAAGTTTATCTGATTTTATGCAATGGAAAAAGGCTAAAAAATGGTTATTAAAAATTAGTATACAAACTTTTTTTAAAGACACACAGTGAGAAATTTTAAAAAATGTTTTTTCTTGAGACAGGGTCTTGCTCTGTTGCTGGAGTGTAGGGGTGCAATCACAACTTAGTACAACCTCAGACTCCTAGGCTTATGTGATCCACTCACTTCAGCCTTCAAGTAGCCAGGATTATAGGTGCGTGCCTCCATGTCTGGCTGATTTTTTTATTTTTTTGTTGAGACAGAGTCTGCTTATGTTGCCCAGGCTGAGAAATTAAACTTTTTTTTTTTTTGAGTTGGAGTCTCACTTTCGTCATCCAGGCTGGAATGCAGTGGCACGCTCACAGCAGCCTCGACCTGCTGGGCTCAGGCAATCCTTCCGCCTCAGCCTTTCAAGCAGCTGGAACTACAGACGCACACCACCATGCCCAGATAGTTTTTGTGATTTTTATCATAGAGGGAAGGTCTCACCAAGTTGCCCAGGCTGGTCTCGAATCACTGGGCTCAGGCAATCTTCTCACCTCGGTTTCCCAGAGTGCTGGAATTACAGATTGAGCCACCGTACCTGGCTGAGAAATTAAACTTTTAAGCAGCAAATAAAGACTTCGTATAAGGTTCTGAGATGAGCTGGGCTCAGTGGCTCAGCCTGTAATCCCGCACCTTTGGGAGGCTGAGGTGAGTGGATTGCCTGAGCCCGCAGGTTTGAGACCCGCCTGAGCAACTTAGCGAGACCTCATTCCTACAATAAATCAAAAAATTATTAGCCGGGCGTGGTAGCGCGCACCTGTAGTTCCAGCTACTTGGAAGGCTGAGGCAGAAGGATCAGTGGAGCCCAGCAGGTCGAGGCTGCGGTGGCCGGGAGTGGCCGTCTGGGTGACAGAGTGAGACTCCAACTCCAAAAAAAAAAAGAAAAGATTCTGAGATGAAAAAAAGGAGAATGAACTCCTTGTGTACAACATGTAATCACAAGTATTCACTATAAATTACATGCTGAGAATTTGCATCTAGGGATATAATTCTGAAGTTCAAAAGATGACAGCTGTGATTATGATTTTAAAGTTCTCTTATTTAGCTGGGGGCGGTGGCTCATGCCTGTAATCCCAGCACTTTGGAAGGCATGGGCAAGAAGACTGCCTGAGCCTGCAGGTTCAAGGCCATCCTGGGAAACACAGTAAGACCACATCTCTACAATAAATCAAAAACTAGCTGGGCATGGTACATGCCTATAGTTCTAGCTACTTGAGGTGGAAGGATCACCTGAGCACAGCAGGTAGAGGCTGCAGTGGCTGTGAGCAGCATGCCACTGCACTTCAGCCTGGGCAACAGAGTGAGATTCCGACTCAAAAAAAAATTTTTTTTTCTCTTATTTAAAGCTTCAACAAAACACATATGACTGACCAAAAAACTGCAATGTAACAGATTACAAATTTTAAGCTAAATAAATGGCCTATGTAGATATAATTAGTAACAAAAGCTAAGAAACACAGTTTAAGAGATTTATTACACAAGGTGACTGTAATAAATGTTCTGTTTACTTGAAAACTGCTAGCTGGGTGGGGTGGCTCAGGTCTATGATAACAGCACTTTGGGAGGCCAAGGTGAGAGGACTTCCTGAGTCCATGGGTTCAAGACCAGCCTGGGCAACTTGGTGAGACCTCATCTCTACAATAAATTAAAAAATCAGCTGGGTATGGTGGCACATGCCCGTAGTTCCAGATACTTGGAAGGCTGAGGTGGAAGGATCACCTGAACCCAGCAGGTCGAGGCTGCACTCGACTCCAACTCAAAAACAAACAAACACACCTGCTAAGAGTAGATTTTAAGTGTTTTTACCACCAAAAAAAGTATGTGAGGTAATGTACGCTAATTAGCTTGATTTAGCCATTCTATAATATATACATATTTCAAAACATGTACACAATATATAAAATTTTGTCACTTAAAAGAAAAAACATACAAAAGCAACACATACACAGACTACATGTATCATATGTGCATTATTACCAATATATCAAAAATCTTGGGAATGCTATAAATAGAACTTTATGGTCTCCAAGTTGTTAGTGAGTTGATAAAATTAAGTGCAAAACGAGAAAACTTTTTGGGGGTGACAGAATGTTCTCAAGATGTACTGTGGTGATAGATTACAACTGTATAAATTTACTAAAACTCATCAAGGATTACGCATAAAATGGTTGAATTTTAAGGGATATCAATAATATTCTTTAAAAAAAATCCTGTTTCTGCTTAGACTGCAATTGGCCAATTTTAGACATACAGCCACATGGAGCTGGAAACATAACCTTTTCAGCATGCACCAAATTAACCACAGGCTTCTATGACAAAGAATAAAAAAAATGAAGTGCATAATTTTTGCAAAAAGTAATAAAGAGCAGGGTGTGGTGACTAATACCTGTAATCCCAGCATTTTGGGAGCCCAAGTAGAGAGGACTGCCTGAGCCCAGGAGTTTGAGACCAGCCTGGGCAACTTGGTGAGACCTTGTCTCTATAATAAATGATAAAATTAGCCAGGCATGGTAGTGCAGGCCTGTAGTTCTGGTTATTTGGAAGGATGAGGCAGAAGGATCACCTGAGTCCAGCAGGTTGATGCTGGGGTGGCTATGAGTGTGTCACTGTACTCCAGTCTGGGCGACAGTGAGACTCCGACTCAAAAAAAAACATAAATAAATAAATAAATAAAACGTCTATGACAACGGGCAATCAAATTCCCACCCTCAAAGGAGCTTCCCTACAAGTTGAAAAGACGCAACTGAAATGCCAAGTACAGGCCGATAATCCCTTTCCTGTAGTCCTGAAATCCAAAAATCAATAAACAGAGTTTTAACAAGTTTGCAGCAAATTCATGTGGCAGCAAAACCTGGCCTGAATTGTCTGATGTTATAAATATAGATTTCATTTGCCTCACTTAGTATGTAAGTGTTTCACTAAAGGAATATTGTGTTTGATTACAGGGTGCTATCCCAGGCCCCACTGGGCATGTGGAGTAATCCACAGTTATGTGCATGCAAAAGAAATTCTGAAACTCACTTGTCCCCTGAAGCTGAGAAGACAAATGAATCACACAGCACCTTAACTGCTAAGCTGGTTTAAGACTTGCCAGATTCTCAAGCTGAACCTTGAAGAATATGTAGATTTGAACAGGCCAAGGAGGATGAGGACCTATCTCACAAAGGTAATAGCGTGAGCAAAGTAACAGATGGGAAGAGGGGAATAATGGAGAAGACTAAGGTGGCTGACGAATTGCACGATATTAATGTACAACAGGAGCCACTGCAAAGTCTTTGGAAATGGCAAAAATTTAATGAAAGGGGAGCATAGGAACTTTGGGCTGGTAATGGTATACAAAATGGGGTTGATGAGTAAGAGAACAATAATAGAACTGTTAAGATTTCCTTTTTTTGGGGTGGGGGGTCACATTCTGTCATCCAGGCTAGAGTGCAGTGGCATAATCAGGGCTCACCACAGCCTCTACCTCCTGGGCTCAGGAGATCCATTTGCCTCAGCCTCACAAGTAGCTGGGACTACAAGCACAGGCCACCACACCCGGATAATTTTTTAATTTTTTTGAGATGAGGTCTTGCTATGTTGTCCAGGCTAGTCTTGAACTCCTGGGCTCAAGTGATCCTCCTGCCTCAGCCTCCCAAAGTGTTGGGATTTCAGGTGTGAACCACAGTATGCAGCAGGACACTTTTACTTAAAAGGGGAAGATGCCACAACCAGGCTAATAGTGCTAGATGTTTTATATGCATCATATCGTTTATTTCACACAACCATTTTACATACAAGGAAGGGAACCCAGAGTGGTTAACTAACTTGCCCCAAATAACACATAGTTAATAGAAATCAGATTCAAATCAGTTCAGCTCCATAAGTCTACCCTCTTTCTACTATCCAGGTGGACAGAGGACTGTACTGGAGTGAAGGCAGGCATAGCCCAACAGAAAGGCTGATGAGAAGAGGGCGGCCAGAGGACATCTAGGGAGAGGAAGGAGTCAAAGATGACTGAGATTTTGAACAGTAATAATCCAGACAATGAAAAGACCATACCTGGGAGCAGTGGCTCCCGCCTATAATCCCAATACTTTGGGAGGCCTAGGTCAGAGAACTGCCTGAGTCCACGGGTTTGAGATCAGCCTGAGTAACTTGATGAGACCTCATCTCTACAATAAATCAAAAAATGAGTCAGGCATGGTGGCACATGCCTGTAGTTCCAGCTTCTTGGAAGGCCAAGGCAGAATGATCATTTGAGCCCAGCAGGTTGAGGCTGCGGTGGCCATGTGTATGCTACTGCACTCCAGCTGGGGCGATAGAGTAAGACTCCAACTCAAAAATAAATAAAAATAAAATAACATAAAATAAAATAAAAAAAGGTTAGAAAGATAAGAAAAGGGCTATATCCAATGCTGTCCTTAGATGGGATAGTACTCAACACCCAGAAACCATGAGCCTCTATCAAAGAACAATCCGTATTTTCCTTACTGCAGTCCTTCCTGCTAACTAACAAATGTGTTCATCACAATGGAAGCTAAATTTTGAATGATTTAGGAGACTCCATCATCCATCTATTCACTCCTTCTAAATCAAGGTGTACCACTCTATGGGCGAGAACATCACATCTGACTCAACCATGCATATAATCTATTCAAAAACTATCTTTGAAATTGATATTTTAAATCAAAGTTTAGAAATGTTACACATGGCCGGGCATGGTAGCTCGCGCCTATAATCCCAGCACTTTGAGAGGCCGAAGTGAGAGGATTGCCTGAGCCCACGAGTTTGAGACCAGACTGGGCAACTTGGTGAGACCTCATCTCTACGATAAATAAATCAGCCGGGCATGGTAGCAAATGCCTGTAGTTCAGGCTACTTGAAAGGCTGAGGTGGAAGGATAATCTGACCCCAGCAGGTCGAGGCTGCGGTAGCTGTGAGCAGGCCACTGTGCTCCAGCCTGGGCCACAGAGTGAGATTCCAAATTAAAAAAAAAAAAAAAAAGAAAAAAAAGAAATGCAACACATTATAGCCTGCCCCATTTTGGAGATTCACAATACAAAGCACTTTGAAAGCTTTAGGAATTTGCAAAGTTACCAGTTTACATGTTTAACCCAAAGTTTCCCCTTTTCAATGAAACACACTTTGGAACGAAGTGATTTAGTCAATTCATTTTCCCATTCATTTTTGGGGCTGAAATGCTGAATCTGTTATGAAATCATGAAACTTTGCTATTGCTAAGCAAAATCATTTGTATCAGTGTATCTAAGTTATGAAAAAACTGGCCTTTCTCTGTCACATACAAATTTATTCTATTTTTGGGGATTCATGCAAGGCAGCATGTTAGAAACTAGGGGGTTGTAATCCCACCACTTTGGGAGCTAAGGCAAAAGGATTGCCTGAGCCCAGCAGGTCGAGGCGGCAGTGACTGTGAACGTGCCACTGCACTCCAGCCTGGAAGACAGAGTGAGACTCCAACTCAAAAAAAAAAAAAAAAAAACAGAAGTCCATTACATCTGTCACATGAACAAATGATCAACTTATCTGCCATAATTAATTTTTTGTTCATTTGTACTTCAAGAAAGAAGTGAATTTTGAGGTTTGCCCTGTATTACTTGGTCATACATGTCAGGGCTCTGTACTTACAGTTCTCTCTGCCTGGACAGCTCTGTCCCTGGAAAGTACATGGCTCACTGCCCACTTCATTCAGGCCGCTGCAAATGTCATCCCTTTCCAGAGATGCCTTCACGGATCATCCTATCTAAAAGAGCACTGACCTCACTCACTCTCCATCCCCTTACTCTACTCTACTTTCAAATTAAATGTTATCAGGCATGTTAATTTCTCTTATTTACTGTGCTTCTCTCTCCACTACATCACAAGCTCCATGAGATTTAGGGACTTCATGTTTTGTTCACTACTATCTCCCTAGAGACATACAAAAGAGATGAGTAAGTACTACATAATTGTACTATTTTAAAAAGCTAGAGCTGGGCGGGGTGCCAGGTACAGTGGCACTTTGGGAGGCTGAGGTAAGAGCACTGCCTGAGCCCACGGGTTCAAGACCAATACATCAGGAAACATTAGCATGGTCATGGTGGCACATGCTTGTAGTTCCAGCTACTTGGAAGGCTGAGGTGGAAGAATCACCTGAACCTAGCAGGATGAGGTTGCGGTGGCTGTGAGCATGCCACTGCACTCCAACCCGGGCAACAGTGAGACTCCAACTCAAAAACAAAAACAAAAAAAAGGGCTAGATATCTTTAATTTATTTTCTTCATCAAAAGCATTATCATTCTTCATATTTATTCTAGTAAATTGACTATGACAAACAGAAAGGTGAAAGCAGCTGATTCTAAAACCACACAATAAAGTGAAACCTAAAATGACAGAGTTGAGGTGCTAGGGTAGGATTATTATTTTTTTTTTTGAGTAGGAGTCTTACTCTGTCACCCAGGCTGGAGGGCAATGGAACACTCACGGACACCACAGCCTCGACCTGCTGGCTCAGGCAATCCTTCCGCCTCCGCCTTCCAAGTAGCTACAACGACTGGCACATGCCACCACACCCCGCTAATTTTTTGATTTATTGTAGAGATGGGATCTCACCAAGTTGCCCAGGCTGGTCTTGAACCCGTGGGCTCAGGTGATTCTCTCACCTCGGCCTCCCAAAATGCTGGGATTATAGGCATGAGTCACCTTGTCTGGCCTGGATTATTTTTAAGTTAAAAAAGTAAAGTGCCACTGCCCTCCAGACTAGGACAGAGACTCTGACTGAAAAAAAAAGAAAAAAGAAAAACAAAGTGGGCTGGGTGTGGTGTCTCTGCCTGAGACCTGGGCAACTTGGTGAGACCATGTCTCTACAATAAATCATAACGAGCCAGGTGTCGTGGTATACGTATGTAGTGAGGCTGAGGTGGAAGGATCACCTGAACCCAGCAGGTTTAAGTTGCGAAGGCCGTAAATGTGCCACTGCACCCCAGCCTGGGCAACAACAAAGTGAAACTCAACTCAAAAACAAAGTGAAAGGTTACATAAATTTGCATGTTTTAAATCTCTGAAAGTTAAAATACTGCATGGATGCTAGGCCAGGTACGGTGGGTGGCTCACTCCTGTAACCCTAGCACCTTACAATACCAAGGCAGAACCGGGCATGTTGGCTCATACCTATAATCCTAACACTTTGGGAGGCAAAGGAGAGAAGACTGCCTGAGTCCGGGGGTTTGCGACCAGCCTGGGCAACTTGGCAAGACCTTGTCTGTATAATAAGTCAAAAAATTAGCTGGACGTGGTGGCATGTCCCTGTAGTTCCAGCTATTTGGGAGCCTGAGGGAAAAGAATCACCTGAGCCCAGTGGGTAGAGACTGGGCGACAGAGTGAGTCTCCAACTCAAAAAAAGAAAAAAAAAAAAGATGCCAAGGTGGGAGGACTGCTTGAGCCCAGGTATTGGAGACCAGCCAGAGCATCATAGTGATACCCGTCTATACCAAAAAAATTAAAAAAAAAAAAAAATTAGCCAGGTGTGGTGGTACATGTCTATAGTCCCAACTACACAGGAGGCTGGAGTGGAAGGATCGCCTGCGCCCAGGAAGTCGAGGCTGCCATGAGCCGATTGTAGTGATCATACCACTACATTCCAGCCTGGGCGACAGAGTAAGACTCAGACTCCCCAAAAAAGAAAAAAAAAATCTATTTTTCTTTTTTGAGTTGGAATCTCACTCTGTTGCCCAGGCTGGAATGCAGTGGCCCACTCAACGGGCACCACAGCCTCGATCCTCTCACCTCAGCCTCCCAAAGTGCTGGGATTATAGGCCTTATTAACCTCATTTTACAGCTAAGGAATCGGAGGCTCGGGGAGATAAACTGACCAGCCCTAAGTTACACTCCTAGAGAGTTAGAGTACATCCCAGAGATCTAATTCCAAAACCCATGCTCCGAATCACCACAGCACAGCGTTTCCCCCCAAATGGGGACACCCCCATCCCACGTTACTGGGCATTTATTATGATACAGGTACGTGAACCAGAATTTAATCCACACGAACGATTCACGGCATTGGGAGACCGAGATGAGAGGATTGGGAGACCGAGGTGAGAAGCCCGGTGTTCGAGATCACCCCCGTCTCTAAAAAAATTCAGCCAAATGAGATCGCGATGAACATTTTACAATCGGGGAGACAGAAGCACAAAGGGGATAGAGGATGAGTTCAGGGGCTTCGCTAGTGTCAGAAGACAAGGGCAATCGCCGGCGGCCGCCAGCCCCCAGCCCCCGGGCGGCCCCACGCACCCCGAGCCCGGGCGGGACAGGCCTCGCCGCCGCACGCTCTGCTCACGCTGCGGGCGGCCCTGGGCGCCGAGAACGGACACGCAGGCGCGACCAATGAGCAGCGGCCTTTCCGAGCGAAAAGGCGGGCGCGCAGCCAATCAGCGCAGCGCTGGAGGGGAAGGGGCGGGCACTCGGAAGGCTCGTGTTAGGCCGCGCCTCCGCCGCCCTCGCCCCTCTCAGGCCCCGCGGCCGCCGAGCCTGGGCAGGTGACCCAGGCCGCCGCGGGGTGAAGTGAGGCCCGTCCGGGAAGGCGAAGGCCCGATCCGGGCGCCCCGCCGGAGGGACAGGCCCACATTCCGCTCTCGCCCAGCGGCGCGGTTCTCGCTTCCCAGCGCTCGGAAGTGCCGGGAGCGCCTCATCCCTGCCTCAGGGGGGCCCCAAGAGCCACCCTGATAGGCCGTGCACGCCCCGCTCCTCACCTCGCAGGGACACGGGAACTGAAGAGGGAATCGCAGCTGCGGACTGTAGCCGGCACTAGCCGCTCCTGCCGCCGCTCCGCCTCACATTCAAACCCCGGCAAAATGGCGCGGCAGCAAGGCTGCAGCCCGAGCGCATGCGCGAGCGGGGCAGAGGAAGGGGGCGGGGCCGGGGAGATTCCGGTCCCACCCGCGCTCGGAGGGCCAATTGGGACCCCGCTCTGTTTTTGCGCTGACGTCACAGGTGACAATGCCCTTTGGGTCGGACCCTTCCGGCTGGCTTCTGGGTCCTCCTTTTCCCGAGAAGAACGCGGATTCAGCGAGTGGCTGGTGGTCCGTGACCTCTTTTGATGTCAGGGCCTGGCACATAGTAGGTCTTATATGGCGAACTGTCCAAAGTCGTGCGTGCATAGCGTCTCACGCAGGAGAGAACTTCCTGCCCCTCATGAAGCGTCTACTTTTTTGTTTTTTTTGAGTCGGAGGCTCACTCTGTCGCCCAGCGCAGTGAGTGTGCCGTGGCACGTTCACGGCTGGCTCAGGCGATCCTTCCGCCTCAGCCTTCCAAGGAGCTGGAACCGCAGGCACGTGCCACCGTGGCCCGCTAATGGTTTGATTTATTGTAGAGACGAGGTCTCGCCAAGTTGCTCAGGCTGGTCTCGAACCCCTAGGCTCAGGCAATCCTCTCACCTCGGCCTCCCAAAGTGCTGGGATTACAAGCCTGAGCCACCGCGTCCGGCTCAATTTTATATTTTATTTATTTTATTTTTTCTGAGTTGGAGTCTCACTCCGTCACACAGCTGGAGTGCGGTGGCAAGCTCACAGCTATCCCAGCATCGACCGGGCTGAATTGCCGCACCTGGCACCCGGCTGCTTTATAAAAATTATTTATGTTTTTCAGTCCGGCCCAGCGGCTCACACCTGTAATCCCAGCACTTTGGAAGGCCGGGGCGAGAGGATTCCTGAGCCCGGGAGTTCGAGACCAGCCCGGGCAACTTCGTGAAACCTCGTCTCTACAAAAAATCAAAAAATTAGCTGAGCATAGTAGTGCCGCCTGTAGTTCTGGCTACTTGGAAGGCTGAGGTGGAAGCGTCGTCTGAGCCTAGCAGGTCAAGGCTGTGGTGGCTGGGAGTGTGCCACTGCACTCCATCCTGGGCAACAGAGTGGAACTCCAACTCAAAAAAAAAAAAAAAAGTCACAAGTTTGCTTATTGCTAATTCCTCAAAGGGCAGAAAGCACAAAACTCTTCTGCACAGAGTTCGTCCTCCTGCCAGCTTCCATGATTTGTACCATGGCCTCTCCTATGGAACAGTACTGTTCTTGTCTGTTTTTCAGAATCCTTCAGCACTCTGGAGAAGAACATCATACCTTTATTTAAGCTTCAATTTACTCATGATAAGAAATTTATTAGAACACAAGCATATTTCAAGCTAAATTTGTGTAGCAAATCTGAATTAGGTTAACAAAGATTGCAGGAGCTTTAAGCAAAAATTGGCAACCTCTAGGAAGCAGGAAAACTTAATTGTATATAAAATATCCTCAATGGCTCAGTTTTCAGAACAACACCAGATGAGGTCGGCTTGTGTCTGGAAATAAGCATTTACAAAAATACTAGCCGGGCATGGTGACTCATGCCTGTAATTCCAGCACTTTGGGAAGTGGAGGTGAGAGGACTGCTTGAGCCCATGGATTTGAGACCAGTCTGGGAAATTTAGCAAGGCCTCGTCTCTACATAAATAAAAAAATTAGTTGGGTGTGGTGGCGCACACCTGTAGTTCCAGCTACTTGAAAGGCTGAGGTGGAAGGATCGCCTGAGCCCAGTAGGTCAAGGCAGCAGTGGCCAAGAGCATGTTACTGCATTCCAGCCTGGGCAACAGAATGAGACTGAGACTTAAAAAATACACACACACACACACACACACACACAAAACCCCTAACATTTCTTTTGCCAGAATTTTGTGTCCCATCCCTTCTCCTCTTCCTACTTTGCTGACAGCATGTATTTGCATTTACTTCATTACATACTCCTAAGATATGACACAATCAGCCCTGTACCTAGTGATAGTAGGAATATGAAGCCCATTAACTTGACCAAACAACAGTGGCTAGCATTTAAAGAATAACTATGAAAGTCACTTACTGTGAAAATACATACACTAATCTTTACTCTGAATAAACATATGAAGTGAACTAAACATAATGAAATAAAACTAACACAACTAAAATTATTATGGTTGCATAATTGCCAATGAGTTTTTAAGTTTAGGATATGGTGGTTTGGCTGTTTTCCCTTATGCTTGGCAACCTCCTGGAAAACATCTTTGTCTTAAGATAGGCAGTGGAGCAATTATTATCTTTGAGGCACCAATTTTATCATTGTGTGAACTTAAACTTATGAACTTAAAACATCTTCAAAGTAGCTATAAAACACTAAACTATAGCACTAAAACTTAATTAATGACACAAAGTAAAACCTTGT